TACTGTTAAACTTTGCTACCGTCAACTGCAACTATCAAACAAATACTAAAAATATTATGACAATTTCTTTCCTTTTATTTTGATACTTATATCGACAACAAAAAATAAGTCGCTAATATTAAAGCGGCAAAAGGCGCTTTATAGAGGCCGAAAAAAAAAACGGCAACCTTTATCCTATGTATGTTTATGTATTAGTTTATTTGCAAGAAAGTTTATCGTTACAAAGTACCGATTTACTTTGATTTTGCGCCCCCAAAATGTTGCGCCTGCGTGCGTGCACTCACTGCACGCTCTCCAGAAACGGCCCTGGATACCGTTCGTTAGTTTGTTTATTTCTTTGTTTTAAATTGGTTTTTAAATTAATGATATCAATTTTTTCGGGACTGATCCCGGGATCCCGGGATTAGTTATCTCTGGTCCCGAAAGTCCCGGGATTGGAAAAAGGGCTCGGGATTGACACCCCTAAACTAGATATATGCAACTGTCAACTGTTCGAAAAGCATCAAGTACATAGAGTTTTTATATGATCAAGTATATGCCTAGAGTGCACTCTCGGTTGTCCAAGCTTTAGACTTGGTTAAGTTTTACCCATCCTGCGCATAGGGTACATCAAACAATAATTTGAATTTATCTTCATATAATTTATTAATATGCATTTAAAATTTAATAAAAAAACGAAAAACAGTTAAATAACAGAATTTATTTAAAATAAATTATTTAAAAAATATCAACTCTAAAAAAACAAAAAAAAATAGCACAAAAACTTGAATAAACCAACCTAAAGGGTTGAAACCAACCTAAAGGGTTGAAACACAATAATTTAATATTTATATGTATTCAGTCAAATAACAAACAAAACCAATTGGTTTTAGAACACTACAACATAAAGTTTATAGGTTCGAAAATAACAAGGAGGTCAGGTATAATGTAAAGTCACGTGATTGTATACTTATCCTTATGCCATATCCAAAGTAGACTCTCATTTCGAACGCACTCCTGGACGCTTGCTTAGGATATATATGCTTCTGTACTGTAGAGATAGGAGCTATATCACCTTCTTCTTCTACCCTGGATACAACCCACACAACAAGGTCTGTGTGTGCTAGTTAGTGCGATTTATAAACTTTCAGTTGTCTTTGGCGCTGGAGCTGGCCTCGTAGAACACCACTTATAAAGTCGTTGAGGATTTAAAATTCAAACCTTCTAACTATACGAGCCCTAACCACATAATGTTCGGACACTTCATAATTTATACAGAAATTTTTTTCGTGAATACTATCTCAAAATTATTAGAAGTTATGAAAAATTCAGCTTATTTTGGCATATACCCCTCGAAGCGATTTTTATTTTTAAAAAGTTTACCTTTTATTTTTAGCTTTTAAAAAAAGGCTAACTTTTTAACTTTTTTTTGTATGAGTAAAAAAAGTTATAAATGGACCCATTAAAAAGAGCATAAAATATTATACAAACCCTGAAAATTTGGTAAAAAATAAATAAGTTATAAAAAAGTATAAGTAATTTAAAAATGCTATTTTTAAAGAGTTTTTGCAATTTTCTTAGGAAACGGGAGATTTTGCAGATATATATATCGCTATAACTTTCTTATTATTTATACAATTTTTACCAAATTTTCAGGGTTTGTATAATATTTTATTTTCTTTTTAATGGGCCCATTTATAACTTTTTTTACTCATGCAAAAAAAAGTTAAAAAGTTAGCCTTTTTTTAAAAGCTAAAAATAAAAGGTAAACTTTTTATAAATAAAAATCGCTTCGAGGGGTATATGCCAAAATAAGCTGAATTTTTCATAACTTCTAATAATTTTGAGATAGTATTCACGAAAAAAATTTCTGTATAAATTATGAAGTGTCCGAACATTATGTGGTTAGGGCTCGTAGTTATAAAAATCTAACAATTAAAATTGTTAGATTTTTAAAAGTAGGGTGGTGGAAACATAGTTTTTTGATCAAATCCTTAATAATAGGTACATTAATTCCTCAATCAAGGAAAACAACTAAAAATATTAAATTTGCTCGCGACGTCTATTGGTAAATCGCGCAATGTAACCGAACGGTACCCAAACTATTATTAGTAATAATTTATTCCGAATAAATTATTCGCCGTGACTAGAAGTACACCGGGAGTACGGGCATTAAACGTACATCAGGTTTGTGCGCATGCGTGTTTCCATACCAGCTGAAGTTAAAATTTATTAGTTGAGATTAAATTGGTACACTCACAATCCACACAAGGATTGTGGATTGTGGGTACACTAAGGCCCAGTTGTATAACAGTTGGTAAACAGCTGGTTAACTCTTGATATTAATTATGTAATTATTAAGCTAACTTTCAATTTGTATAAAAATTGATTAAAATTTAATTAAGTGATTAGCTGGCCATACACAGACTTTATTGCGCGCGGTTTATCGTGTTATCTGCAAAAACATATGGAAAATCATGTACGTGAGTGAGTATCGCCGCGCGCAACCCAGCCAACAAAGTCAAGGTAGTGCTACTAGTAGCAGAGGGTAGCGCTACCCTCTGCTACTAGTAGCACTACCTTGACTTTGTTGGCTGGGAATGATAGAACGGGAAGGGATTTCAGACGTGCTTTCCTCTGGAGTGTGGAGTGTCCACACGCCACATTCCGCGTCACGGTTTACCTTTAAAGGCAATTGCTTGGCAAAATTTCACGTTGAAAATTTGTACATGATCACATGCAGTTTCAAACGACTCGATAAATGACACTTTTTGCCCTCTCACATACGATTTTTCCTTTGAAACTGATATACCACGGGCAATCACTTGCTAAATCATTTGAATATTTTATCAAGTGTATGGGACATGACGCTTTTTTTGCCATGCCGTTCTTTCGTGCATACTAACCGCTACATCCCAACACGCCACGATAAACCGCGCGAAATAACGCCTGTGTATGGCCAGCTATTGAAATACAATTAACAACAAAATTAATGAAATGTCAGTATGAATTACCCAAACCAACCCAAACTCAACAACCCAACCCAACCGATCCCGCCCCATTGGGCCCCCCCGCCCCATTGAGCGCGAAATTGAGCCATTTAATATTATACAATTGACAAATATGCTAAATAAGGATTTTTTTCCACCCGGTGTACGTTTAATGGCGGTACTCCCGGTGTACTTCTAGTCACTTTGTAATTTATTACTCGCTCGCAATAATAGTTGCATAAGAAATCAACCAAAATTTTACAATAGTTATTAGCTGGCCATACAAAGGCGTTATTTTGCGCGGTTTATCGTGGCGTGTTGGGATGTAGCGGTTAGTTACTAACCGTTAGTATGCACGAAAGAACGGCATGGCAAAAAAAGCGTTCCATAGTATTCAAATGATTTAGCAAGTGATTGCGGGTAGTATATCAGTTTCAAAGGAAAAATCGTATGTGAGTGGCCAAAAAGTGTCACGTGATGCGGAATGTGGCGTGTGGCGTGTGGACACTGCTGAAATGATGTACGCCACAATCCAGAGGTAAGCAGTGCTTACTAAGCACGTCTGAAATACCTTCTCGTTCTATCATTGCGCGCGGCGATACTCATCTACATGATTATCCATATGTTTTTGCAGATAACACAATAAACCGCGCGCAATAACGTCTGTGTATGGCCAGCTATTTAGTTTATAACAGGACTTTTTATTAAAACCTTATACCTACCCCGTAAAAGTTTTTGTCTAGGTATTTATACCTATAAATAAATAGTAATTCCTTTTTTCCCTATTCTCCAAAAAAATCCACATAAATAGGGAAAAATTCCCCAATCTGGCAACACTGCTTCAACCTACACAGTAAAAAACATTACTTAATTAATGTTCTAGTTGGCCACATAGTAACCAACGTAATATCATGGTAATATATTCTGTAAAATATTTACCTTTTACAGAATATATTCACTCAATAACCGTAATAATTTATGCGTTTGCACAGTAAGAAAAAATTACAGAATATTAAGTTGGCCACAGAATAGCCAACGTTTTATTCTGTAAAATATTTACCTTTTACAGAATATATTTGGTAAAGTCACTCAATAGCCGTAATAATTTATGCGTTTATTTGAAACACCATATTTTTTATGTAAATATTACATATTTTTATCCGTAATTTTACCAAATATATTTGAAACACCATATATTTTATGTAAATATATTACATATTTTTATCCGTAATTTTACCATCATTTTTTACTGTTTACTCTGGTATTATTTATTTACTTTATGACGTAGTCGGTAGAATATTAACACAGAACATGGATAGGTATTAAATATCAAGATAGATACAGCTTAAATATTAAATATCCCATATTTTATAGTGGGGGTTTATTAATTACAGTGTTGCCTAGTATATATTATATATATTAATTAATTTGTGTATACATATTTTTTTCCAATAACTTAAGTTATGTTAATTTACATTTACAATAATTATTTAAGTATACAACATCTACAATTGTTATTAACACAGCAGGAATCCCTCATAATAGAGTGTATAATTTATAGATTTATAGCTAGCCCATGCTTAAATTATTTTTTTTTGTAAAAGCCAATTTTATAGAAACAAAGTAGGTATTTTTTTATATTTTCAAAAAGAAATTAAGAAAAAAACCGAAAATAACCTAAAAACCCGGTTTAAATTTAAAGGGTTCAGGTTCGGTCTCTAGCGTTACGTTTAAAAATAATATGGGTTTGGTTACGGTTCCGGTCCACAAATAAATACCGGTTCCGGTCCGTTTTCTATCCAAAAACGGTCCGGTCCGGGTCCCTGCTTTGAATATTCAAATTTCCAAGGTTCTGTTCTAAATAACTACCTACATCATGTATGGATCATTGATGGATAAATGGCTAACTAAAGTTCTTCCTAATGACGAGGTAAAAGTAAAATTTTCTGTTTCAGTTATTTGTTTTTCAGCATATAAAAACTTTATATATATTTTTTCGTATGTGGGAAATCACAGAACATAAATTTTAGGAAGCTGTGGGGAATTTTACCACATGATGTGGGGAAAACAGTTTTTTTAGTTGGCAACACTGCTACTTGGGTTGTCAAATTTGCAAAAACTCTAAAACACGTGTTGTTTACGTTTTTAAAATGGTAAAACAATTATTAGATCACTAGATAATAATTACCAATAATAAATATTTTGCAGGATGTCTTGTCGCGACCGGCCGAAGAATTTGGAAATGATCAATCTTTGGAAGTTATGTGGGCAATGAAGGCCTATGATCATGCCCACATTTACTTTAACGTAAGAACATGCTGTTTTTGTTTAATTACTAAATATAATAAATTTTCTTCTAGATTCTTTGTTCAGCTGACCCAAAACTCCTAAAACTCACCCCCATAGATGACATAATTTACAAAATATTTCGTGAAGAATTCCCCACATTAGATTTACATGTCATAAACGAAAACGAATTAAAAAGCACCAAAGAAAAAGCTAAATGGAGACCGTTTTGCGAACGCTTTAAAACTTTGGTGGAAGACTATAGTTTTGGCACATTGGTAAGAGGTGATGCATCTGACGACTATAAAGAGGAAAACACAATATTGGTCACTCGAATACAGTTTTTAGCGATTGAAATCGCCAGAAACAAGGAAGGCGTCAATGATATTTTAAGAAAAAAGTTTTATCCCATTGAAGACAAAGAGGACAGCTAAATATTTAATTAGGTTTAATTTTGTTATGTTATCCATTAAACTCATTTTTTTATTACAACTTATTTTATCTTTTACTGTCAACAAGACTGTTGCTTGATCCAACAAAACTACATTAAATTTAAAAATTTTAGGCTAAATCACAATCCACACAAGGTCTGTTTGATCTCATAGTAAAAATACTAAAAAATCACTGCAACACTGCACATCATTCAATGGCGGCCATTTTTGTTGTTTACAATTCTTGTGCTTTGGGTTTGTACAGATTAATAATCGTTTTAAACGTTGTGTTTCTTACAGAGAGACTTGCAAGCCTTAAAAGAGACCTCAAAGTAGTAAGAACAATCATTTCACTCCTCTTTTGTAAAAAATAAACCCTATTCCACAGAACATAACCCTATTCTATCGGGGCCGTCAAATGTCAATTTGAAGGTTAATTTAAGGTTATTTTTTAACCCACAAATTAACCCAAAGCACAAGAATTGTAAACAAAAATGGCCCCATTGAATGATGTGCACAGACCTTGTTGTGTGGATTGTGGGCTAAATGACAATAATTAAATAACGTCAAATTTACAATTTTGTAAATAAGATCAATTCATACAAAATGTCCCCCCATTTTTTACAGAATCTGGTCACTTTACACCAAGGAGCAAATTTGATCACTATTTTTATTTATGGGATGCTTGCTCTTTGCAGAAAAAGCTTCTGTTGGTCATTGTTGACAACATTCAATAAATTAATCTTATTAGAGAGAAATCAAAATTCTTTTAGAAAATGTATAATCTTTCAAAATTGTGATGTTAGTTCGATATTTTAAACTAAATTTTTGATGCACATTGACAAAAAATATGTGGCACATCTTAATTGAAATAAAAGACTTGTTTACTTGTTAGAGTTTTTATTTTTTCTTAATAATTACAACTACCTTATTAGTGTTGCTTCCCTATGGTAAGTGCTCTTTTTCCTGTAAATCCATTGTGTTCTGTAAGAAAAAAAAAGGTAAGTACTTTTAAACACATACTGGCAAGTTTATCATATTTTTAGAATAATCAGTGCCATTTTCTAACCATTTAGTAGATGACACAAAATAAAACCATGAATTGGTAAGAAAACCTTACCAATCATTAGCAAGTATTAGGGTCATTGATCTACCATCTAAGAATGGTTTATTATCATCATAAAAATGTTTTTAAAATTTTTGTCTTGATAAAATGACAACCTACCTTAGTAATGTTACATTTCTTACTTCACCATCATCTCTACTTTGGTATCTTTGTTTACCTAAAAACATGACATTTTTGTTTGTCCTGTAAGAAAAAAAAAAGATAAGTACTTTGAAATCCATACTGACAAGATTATCATGTTTTTGGAATTATCAGTGCCTTTTTTAACCATTTAGTAGATGACACAAAATAAAACCATGAATTGGTAAGAAAACCTTACCAATCATTAGCAAGTATTAGGGTCATTGATCTACCATCTAAGAATGGTTTATTATCATCATAAAAATGTTTTTAAAAATTTTGTCGTGATAAAATGACAACCTACCTTAGTAATGTTACATTTCTTACTTCACCATCATCTTTACTTTTGTATCTTTGTTAACCTAAAACATGACAAATTTGCTTAGAGACAAAAATTTATGTAATATTATACAATCAATATACTTACCAAATATACCATATTTTTAATTCATACACTTAAACCTATTTTTTAATAAAAATATAATACCGCATTTGTTGAATTTTTTATTTTCTTATTAAATACAAAAGAGTTAACACTTAAGATGTTTCTACTGCAGCAGCAGCAGCAGCAGAGTCTTCGGTGTATTTGCCCTTGTCTTTGCCCAAAGCAGCCAAACGTCCAGCTGCTCTGCGGTCAATGATCTTTTTCCTGTCACGATCCATTTTAAGTTTTACAATCACTACCTGTAAAGACAGAGTTGATTAGTACTTGAAAAAAAAATTGAACATGATGTGTTGTTTTAAGAATAATCAGTGCCATTTTCTAACCATTTTGTAGATGACACAAAATACAACCATGAATTAATAAGAAAACCTTAGCAATCATTAGTTAGTATTAGGGTCATTTATCTACAGTCTAAGAATGGTTTGATATCATCATACAAACATGGTGGTCAAAATTATTGACACTCCCGTTATTTCAAATTTAATAAATAAATTTATATTCTATGTACAATCCACTACTAATCATTTGTAAAAAAGTCAGTAACTGCCACAATACACATGTGTATCGTGACCTAGCCCAAGTCATTTTCCTCATGTCTGCCTTTTATGTTAAATTATGAGGCGCCGTTTGTGCCATAATTATGATTTGTAAAATATATAATAATTTCTAAAATATATACATATTTTGTTTAAAATATAAATATTTTATCTGAAATATATATATTTTAGCTTATTTTATAACATATATATTAGTTTTACTAAAATATAATAATATTTTTACAAAATAATATATATTTAAAATATTTATATATTTGGACAGTTGAACTAATAATATAATTTTAATACTAATAATATAAACTCAGCTTACAAGACGTAACGCTAGGAGGCGCTGGCAGCTTTATTTAACTTGACAACGCAGCCTTTCTTTCATTTCATGTGAGAATTACAGTGGTGTATATTAAATAACTTTTTGCCGCACTTTGGCTTTTTGTTATTTATTATATGTTTAACTGGATGTTTATTGTCGTGACTCTCTTTTTAAACAATAATTTTTTATTCCTTAATTCTGGGCTACGCAAAACTATGTCGTCGATTTGGTTCCATTACTGTGGTTAAATTTTAAATGACCTATTAATCTGTTAGATTTTAATTTAAACTTATACCCAAGTGCTTTAATAATTATTACGTACCAGAGGTATTATTATTTTTAATGTATCTTCTAGTTTTATTTAATTTACACCACAGTAATTCCGACATGCAATTACAGACAGGCTGCGTTGCCAAGTTAAATAAAGCAGCCAGCGCCTCCTGGCGTTACGTCTTGTAAGCTGAGTTTATATTATTAGTATTAAAATTATATTATTAGTTCAACTGTCCAAATATATAAATATTTTAAATATATATTATTTTGTAAAAATATTATTATATTTTAGTAAAACTAATATATATGTTATAAAATAAGCTAAAATATATATATTTCAGATAAAATATTTATATTTTAAACAAAATATGTATATATTTTAGAAATTATTATATATTTTACAAATCATAATTATGGCACAAACGGCGCCTCATATTAAATTGGCTATATAGATACTAAAAAAACATTTGCCAGACGTCAAAGACGCTGCGTTTCTCTTTAATAATTAAGAGTACAGGAAAAAAACGTGCAGTAACGAGCAATTTTAAACTTAAATACTGTGTAATATCTGGGTCCTTTTAATAAACTAACTGCTTTTGTGAAAAAGGGTCACTAACTCAAGTTGTATAATTTTTTTCAGAACAGAAGATTTTTTCACAATTATTTTGTGTTATGTTAATAAACAAATTTTGCCAGGTTTGGGCAAATTATTATTACTAAAATATTCTATAAAGTTTGCATACATTTTTTTCAAGTTTGCATAAGTATTATCTTTTAAGTATTAATAATTTTTACTAATTTAACAATAATTTGGGCAACGGAAAAGGGTGCAAAACCGGATTTATCATTCTCCAATGTATTCTTAAAATTTGAAAACTTTTACACTTTATTAGACCTTTTATGTTTTATTGTAAATATTTTTAACAATTAAATTTTTTTGTAATAGTCCCGCCCGTTACGCTTTAAATTATTAATTTTTAAGGAATTAAACAGTCAATCACGATACCTAATTTTGACAAATAAAAACCTTGTTAAACAGCTTTTGTTTAGAACCATTATATATATACTATATAAAAAATTGACATTGGTAATATAATAGAACAATATTATTTTGTAAATAAAAACACGGCAACTGTCCTATCCGTTAAGCGTGGAATGGCCCATAAATAATTTAAAAAATATGTTTGTCCTCTGATCCCATACGGAAGTGTAACTGAGAGTCACCAAACTTGGTGGAATCAAAAGATCACATAATTTCATGACCTTAAAAATTTTAATGTTATAAGTAAAAAAAAACGCTTGTAATAGCCTTTTCCCAAAATACCTACCCTAACCTAAAAGCATTCTGGCTATAAAAAATCAGCGATACTCATGTCTGGCATAGTTAAATTCACAGTTCTGACATACAACAGAATAATTTAAGCAAGAGCCAGACACAAGTAAATAACTTAATATTAATTTTTTATTTACATTTTTGAAATATTTTCGTTCATTATCACAGTAAACATTAAATGGCAGATTTTTATTCTTTGCTTTTTAATGACCCAATTAACATTTAGTATAAATTTTATTGACAAGCAAATCACTTAAATTTTTATATATCATAATTTAAAAAAAAATGAAATACTCATTAGTGCAGAGACATACACTTCTGGCGATGATATTGATCTGAAAGTCTTGTTAGGGACTTAAAAAAAATGCCAGACGCGAGTAAATGACTTATGGACATTTTTTTACATATTTAATTACCTACTAATTATTAATGCAGCAATAATGGTATGGCAGAAGTTGTGATTAGTGACTTTTATAATCTGTGATCCTAACTTCATTATTTTTAACTTCTGCCATGCAAGCAAATGACTTAAAAATATCTTCCACCAGCACCTTAATTGGTACTTTTCATTTAGTACTTCAGAAAGAAAATCAGAAGCAAAGTTGCTGTTAACATTTTAAATTATCATAAATGTTGTTAATGTTTACAACTTAATAATTATCGTAAAATGTCAAACTACCTTGGAAGGATGGATACCAACATATACACTGGCACCATTGGCTTTTTCTCTTTGTATTCTTTCAATGTAGATTACGAATTTCTTTCTGTACACTTGTACTACTTTGCCTACTTGTTGGCCTTTGTAATGTCCACGTACAACCTAAAAACCACCCAAATTTAACACCTCTATGCTTAATTTTAAAGCAAATTTTACTTACTTGCACTTCATCGTCTTTACGAATGGGCATGGTACGCACATTGTATTTCTGTCTAAGTTCTTTAGACAAGGGTGCGGACATTAAACGTCTTCTGATGTGAGACGGGGCAGTAAAATGCCTCTTCCTGTTTTTACTCCTTGAGGAAGTAACGAGTTTATTGAATTTCATTTTTTATGCTGTTTTTACCCCTGCAAATAAACGAGATTTTAAGCACTTACACCAACATGGACAATTCAATGGTTATGTTTACAAATTCTCACAAAAATTACTTATTTTATAAAAAAATTTACGGAATTTAATATTTATATCGTTCGTTATGCGATATAATCAAAAATCCCTATAAAATACACAATAATTAAATGGATGATTGAAGATTTAAGAATTAAATTTTCACCTACCGACAACAGCAACAAAAGTCAAATCGGAAAGAAGTTGCTGCGCAAACTCGGCAGTGGTGCCAACACAGAACAACGTTTGGGAAATTTATTTTTATTACCAATTTAAAAACTTATTATTATTAATTATTTTAATACAGTTGATAAGTTTATCATTTTGTAATTGCATAGTATCTTACGATATTTTCTTCACAACCAAGTTATTTATTTTTATAGAAATTTTTTATACGTAACATATTTTTATTCTTTTTTTTTATTAAATTATATTCTAGACATGAATTGTGGGAAGGTAAGCAAATAAAAATATGATATTCCGAGTATTATTTATTAATTAATATATATAACATTCTTGACTTTTAGTTTATGGTGAAACATTTAAAGAGGGGTTTAAACATTAATGCTAAATTTTTGCCTCATCATGCAAAATACTCTACATTTCACCAACCTTTAACAATTTTATCTGAAGATGAATTGGTAATGAAACAAACTGGTAAGATACCTAACTTAATATTAACAGGTGGCAATAAAATGTAGGATACTTATTGGGGGCATGATTTGATCCCCAAATGCACCAAAATAATAAATGGAATTGGAAAAAATAAAAACATTTAATTTCCAGTATTACCTACATAGATAGTACAAAAATGAAACTTTGATACGTTTTTATTCTAAAAAAATGACAAATGTAAAAAAATTTTTTTTGGCATATATGTATACGTATACGTCTCTTTGATTTGATGCCCTTGATATATATATATATATATTATATATTCCCTTGATATATATATTTATATATATATATATATATCATGTTTTCAAGATACACCTTAAGTCAAATGTACACAGCAAACGGAAAATTATAGAGGTGTATAGGATGACGCCACGTTTGAATATTGATTTCTAAATCTCCCTACGGTATAGAGTGGTATTCGTCAGTCGAGCGTTTCAATACTCTCCACAGTATAGAGGTCGTAATTTCACTTTTGAACTAGTTTTAATATAAAAATTATTTTATGCTTAAAAAAAACTATATACGACATGATTGTGATTTTTTTCATTTTATTAAGCTGTGTTGAATATTTTTCCTAAAGGAATAATTGCCAATGGGCCATTAATTCATTTGTTCGTAGATGCTACAATAACCTGCACTGGTGTGTACTTTTTCATCAACCAGATTTAAATATTACAAAACTATACCAGTGGAGATAGTGCAGGGTCTACCAACAGACCTAATTACTAAATTATTAAAGTTTAATAGCATATCGATCATTTTTCAACATAACCTCTTAAATTTTTAATACAAATATAGGTACTTTATATAATACATAAATATACTTAACATCATATCCTCTGTGCTTTACATACCTGAGTTGTTACGGTAAATAAAAATCAGACAAAGGAACCAAAGAAAGGAACTATTTTCAACAAAATCATATGGAGAAATGAGAAAATTCATCCATCAAAAGATCAAAACTTCTTGCAATATTACACCCTCTTTTTATACTCTCAGAAATATTGACTAGAACAGTATTAGAGAGACTCCAGTTTCTATAACTTGGTAGAGTAAAGAGAAGTCGAAACCGTTGCGATATTGCATTGCGCTGTTTTTGTATAATTCTCGGGGACATTAACGAAAATCATTGCCAGTAAAATTCGAAAAGCTTGAGTTTCTATGTCTCTGAGGAGAATAGGAATCCGAAGTTGCTGCACCATTGGACTGAACCCTTTTTTAATAATTTCTAGAGACATATATGACTGCACCATTCGACAGGGTCGAGTTTCTACTCCTCTGTTGAATATAGAAAATCAAAATAATGTATCTTGTAAGACACCATTGAGTTTGACTTTAAATATAGTCGTGCATAGGTATAGAGCCGAAAAATATAAAAACAAAGCACGATTCAATACAGTTATGATAAAACTTTAAGATTTGATATTCAAACGCGGAGTCATCCTATACACTTCTATAATTTTTCGTTTGCTGTGTAGGTAGGACCTAAGGGTAGGACCACGGTCTTATATAAGACCGTGGGTAGGACATAACTATACTTATGTCCTACCCTTAGGTCTAAGGTCCTACCTACATTTGACTTAAGGTGTATCTCGAAAACATGATATACCGACCCATGCAACAAAGACTATTGTAACTCAGTTTTGATTGTAGACTAGAGTAACTCAACTTAATATAGTTTTTTCCTGTAGGAATGTGGATTATTAAACTTACTATACAGGGAAGTTGTTCACTGGTTGCCTATCGTTTCATGTCTGAGTTACTGTAATCTTCCACCAAATAGAGCTTGAAAAAATCTGTTTATGCCATATAGTAAGTCAAAACCCACGTTTTTTGAGTTACTATAGTATATATAGTCTTCGTTGCATGGGTCGATATATATATATCAAGGGCATATATAAATACACAACTTTATAAAGGTCATTTTTTTATAGGTATAGAACAGTTTTGTACGATGGTTCTTAAAGGCCATCCCTATGTTTTTTTAGCAAAATCAGGCAGTGCATGTTTTTAAATTGCAGTGCTAGATTTTAAGTGGAAGAGTCAAATTTTAAGTAGCATTGCCAGATTTTAAGTAGCAGTGTCAAATTTTAAGTCGCACTGCCAGATTTTAAGTCACACTGACAGATTTTAAGTTGCACTGCCAGATTTTAAGTCGCATTGCCAGATTTTAAGTCGCACTGACAGATTTTAAGTTGCACTGCCAGATTTTAGGTCACAGTAGTTTGAATTTTGATTTTCCGGCTGTTCCTTTCGGTTTTTCCTAATGTATTTTTTATTCAAATCATCCCTGTATTGAGGCGAACAAAACAAAAAAAAATTAAATCGATTGAGCCATGCGCAGCTACGAACGCCATCTATTCAAATTAATTCAAAGTTGTACAAATTTCGATTTTCTGGCTGTTCCTTTCGGTTTTTCCTAATGTATTATTATTTAATTCACCCCTGTATTGAGGCGAACAAAAAAAAATTTAATCGGTTGAGTCATTTCCGAGTTTTTGCAGGACGCACGGCGATTCATATGTATAGAGCGACTTAAAATCTGGCAGTGTGACTTAAAATCTGGCACTGCTACTTAAAATCTGGCAATGCTACTTAAAATTTGCAACTGCCACTTAAAATCTAGCACTGCATTTTTAAAACATGTAGCATATATATGCACTGCCTTATTTTTCTAAAAAAAAAACATAGTGATGGCCCTTAAGAACCATTGTAGTTTTGTGTAAATTTGAAGCAAAAGTTTTAAAAATTTTTAAGTATTCCCTTAACAAAGACGAAACCCCAGATATATTACATTTTAATAGAATTTTAATCATTATATTTTTAGTGGCAAAATTGGCTCAGGAACAAATAGCCCCATTTGTAAGGGAAATGGAAACTAATCATAAATTTAAAGATTCAGTTGTTAAAATGCTATTTGAGAATGGGGTAAAAACGAAATATTATTAATTAAACAAAATTAATTTGATATACAGGGTGGTCCAGTTTAAATGTCATTAATTTTAGGATGTGCTCCCCTTTTATAAAAGGTATACAGGTATACCTGTCTTAGATACTATAGTATACTGACAATTTTAAAATAATAAATACATGTTTAGGTTATTTGTTCAATTTATAGAAAAAAACTACTTTAGTAACATTTTTATTTGGGGCTTCATTTCTGAAATATTTTAATTTAAAAGTTTTGGAACACAATCCTAAATATATACCTACCTACTGTATAAAATTTAATGTATAGGTAATGCCTCGGGTAATGCAGTATATAAAATCTAAGTAGTCTTAAATTTGTGACAAAAAATGTCAAAAAATATATTTGTATCAAGTAGAATAAATTATTTATAGGAGTAATTAGTAATTACTAACTACTAATTACTAACAGCCATGGCTCTGTAATTTACAAATTCATACACTCAGACACAGAATGTGCGCATGAATTTTTTTGCTTAGGTTTCTACAACGTCTGACGCATAGAAAAAGAATCTGACGTACGTACGATGTGCCCCCACCTAGCAATATATATAGTTACTGTATTTGGACTTAATAGATCCATCAACCATGTCAAATTTATATTAATGGCTGCTAGATTTGTTTGTTTTGTTGCAATATCAAATATTTTTTAGCAATATTAACATAATAATTATTTAATGACGTTTAAATTGGACCACCCTGTATAATTATTTTATATAACACGTTCACTACCGGCGACCACTATATTGGCCAATCGGTTGGCTCACCATGAACCGCGGCCACTATACTGGCCTCAAATTTAATCTTACTTAGGTGCAATATAAATTTATCTGGGTCACAACCCAGACTGCAATGAAGGTTCGAAAATATTCCAGGAATATTCCCTATCGCCTAGGAATAATCCGCTTCATTCTAGGAATATTCATTGGGAATATTCCTAGAATGATCCCCTAAAACTTCCAAGCATCATCTAAGAACATTCCCAGTCAATAGTTTAGTTGCAATACCTCTCACCGTTGCTTACGCGCGCTTGATAACTATATATACCAATATGTTAATAATATTAGTTGAAGATGTGCGTCTGCGATGGCACAGCCAAACAATGATTAGAGTGGGACTGATCTACTCAGTAACTCAATAATGGCTATACTTAAGTTAAGTTCCTGGGTATAAGAGGCAATAAGGGCTGGGAGTAATCCCCAAATTATATTAAGGAATATTCCCCTAACAATCCTTGAGTCTTCTGCAGGCAGATATATGGAATATTCTTTTTATGATGATTATGCCAGGAATATTCCTGGGAATATTCTGGGACGATTGGAATATTCCTGGGTATATTCCTGACATGTGCAGGGAATGTGATTTTGCGGTCTGGGAAGTGGTGACTTGTATGTTGTCTTCGGTCTATAACGCGCGCACGGCCAGTTAAGTGGCCTCTGGCACTTTATGTGGCTTTATTTACAGTGACTCAGGTTTATTTCCTACGCCAGTTTCGGTAGTTTCGGTACAAAACAAGCGACCAGCTATAACACGGCGGTAGTGAACGTGATAATTGAAGCGTGGTAATTCAAAAGCGTCTAAGTGCCGCTGCCGTTCAAAGCACAAATGTATTAAACAATATTAAGTAATGCATTAATGCACTAATTAGTTACCACCTTTTTGCTTAGCACTGCAGTGGCACTTAGACGCTTTTGAATTACCACGCTTCAATTATACTTCAAATTTTTTAGCTTTTGGGCATAGAAATTGATACTGAATATGGGGGTTCAGGTTGTAATTTTATGACCACCATTGTTTCGATTGAGGAAATTGCCAAAGTGGATCCAGCAGTGGCTGTATGGGTTGATATTCAAAATACTTTAATAAATGCTGTGATAATGAAATTAGGTACTAAAGAACAAAAGGAACACTATTTACCTAGATTAGCCACTGATATGGTAAACATTTTTACTTAAATACATTTATTTATTTTAAATATATCCAATGACTTCTAGCTATTTTAAAACTTTTTAAAAGGTATTTCAATGTACTTAAGGCAATTATTGCTTGAGAGATACATCAAATTCTTATTTTACTCCTTGTATATAATTTTCAAGGAAACTGTCTTATATGCTATAGCACTAACAATATACAAGTATACTTAAATATATTTAAAATTAAATATTCATTTTAGGCAGCCAGTTTTGCTTTAAGTGAAACTGGTTCAGGATCAGATGCATTTGCTTTAAAAACCACAGCGAAAAAAGATGATACTGATTACATTTTAAATGGAAGCAAAATGTGGATTTCCAATTCAGATTTAGCTGGACTATTTCTTGTTATGGCTAATGCCAACCCTTCTGCTGTAAGTATTAACAAACATGCAAGGCTATTTTTTATCATCTTTTTATTTTAACAGGGCTACAAGGGTATAACATGTTTCCTAGTGGACAGTAACAGCCCAGGCTTAACAATAGGAAAACCTGAGAAAAAATTGGGTATTTGCGCCTCAGGCACATGCATGGTTAATTTCGATAACGTCCGGGTGCCTGAATCGGCAATTTTAGGCGAATTGGGACAAGGCTACAAAATAGCCGCTGGATTTTTAAACGAGGGCAGAATAGGCATAGGAGCTCAGATGGTTGGGCTTGCACAGGGCTGTTTCGACGCTACCATACCTTACACATTAGACAGACAACAGTTTGGAAAACCAATCTATAGTTTTCAGGTGAGATATTAGTTATTTTTACACTGTTACTTAGGGTTTTACACCTAGTTACTGAGCTACAAAACTTTAGTTGTAAAAAAAGCTTTACGAAAAAATATTAAATGTTAGGCAATGCAACACCAAATCTCACAAATAGCTACCCAAATAGAATGCGCACGACTATTAGTTTACAACGCAGCCAGGTTAGTTGAAGCTGGCGCTCCATTCGTGAAACAAGCTGCAATGGCTAAATATTATGCAGCTGAAGTAGCACAAGAGACTACCATTAAATGTATTGATTGGATGGGGGGAGTAGGTAATATTTTACAAATTGAATGTTTTTAGGATTTCCCTATAAATCATTTTAAATGTTGTAGGATTTACTAAGGATTTTATACAAGAAAAATTCTATAGAGACTGTAAGATTGGTAGCATATATGAGGGAACTTACAACATGCAGCTAAACACAATTTCCAAATATATACAACAAGAGTATAAACATTAACATATTGTAAAAAATCTTGTAAAAAGGGTCAAAAAATAAAAAAACTATTTTATCATTTAAAGGCTATAATGCTATAACAACGTGGCGATATAACAGGATCAAATAACTGTACCAAAAAAGAATTTTCATAACCGTTTTCGTGTAAAAATAAAATTCTATCCAACAAAATTAAATTTTCTATAACTGGCGCCAATAGACACCTTATCAAATAGAATACATTCAACTCATCACACCTACATTCATACTCCTTATAAAATTCATGTAATACCTCATCTGATAAATCTAATTCTAGTTTAAGTCTTTTTAAAGCTTTTCTTGTATAGTCTACAAAATCTGAGGCAGGTTTTCTAAATCGGCCAACATCTTTGATGATGACATCAGGATGATTTATTTTCATGTAAATCTGCAGTAAAGCTCTATAAAATATGGTTTTACTTGGTAGCTCTTTGTTATAAAAAATTCTATCAACAGACTGAGCTGCCATCATCCTAGCACTTCTGCCTATTACAAATTGTCTATCAATTAAAAATTGGCTCATTGGGAATCCAAAATCGGACGTTTTATTTTTGTTGGGTATAACATGTTTTATGTTTTGTTCAAATTGTTCAGCTATAAAGTGATAGCAGCAACCTACATTACAAATAGTTTTTATTTCAGGTCTAGCACAAAATATTCTGAGTGATGCTGTTGCTAAATTACCACAAGTATGCAGCCCTACCAAACTTATATCTGTAGGTTTTTCCAAAAAAACTGTTTCTACCACATCTTTAAAATCAATTTTTTCATCCACATACTTTGTTATTTGTCTATAAAGATCTTTGGAGGTTTTTTTAGATTTTTCTCCTGTTGTAAGACTGTTCCAAACTTTGGATAGTTTTTCTACTCTGTCTACAGCACTGTTGGTGTTTATTTCTGAAGCATCAACTCCTAACACAGGTATTTTATAGTTCAAAGCAAGCATTGAACTTAAATATCCCTTTCCATCACCTATGTCTACAATATGACTTGTTTTCGATATTTTTTGTACAGCTGCTGCAATATTACTTAAAACTTGCACTTCATGTGACTTTTTGGAAGTCATAAAAACATTTAGTTTTAAAGATTGTAAATTTATACCCAGTTTGTTATAAAAACCGTCAATAGTTAAACAAACATCTTTAGAGTTTTTTAGTTGATAATTTTTACTTGTCTCAACATAATTCTTTAAATTTGGCAATCTTTCCAAGTCATCATTAAACATATAATTAACTACATCTTTTTTATTATATGAATTCAACTCATTTTTTATGTTTTCAGAAATAAAATTATTGTAGACATTATTTGTAAAATAATCAACCATGTGACAATTTGCAAGTCCCCAATATGATTCTAAATATAAGATAATATTTTCCAAATTCTGTTTAATAACTTGCAGTTGCGCCATATCTTCAAAATGATAATTCATCTAGATCAGGATAAGATAGATTAACTTTTAACTGAGCACACAACTTTTTAAAATTAGCCCTTATTTCATTCATTAACTCTATTATATCAGCATTATGGTCATTAACAATTGGAAAATGTTTTATTAGTTTATTTAGGATATCAATGGTTTTGTGAACTCTTTCATTGGTGCCTGCTTTTTCCAAATATTTCATGTAAGTTTCTACAACTCCAGCATAATAACCTAATTCAGCACCAAATTCAGACCCTCTGTGGTAGCCTAAATGAAATCCCTCGGGGTTTCCTTGATTGATACCTTTATTAAATCCCTCTTCGTAGGCTTTTTCTATAACTTTCTCTTCGCTAAGCAGCAAGTCATCAAAAACATCGTTTATATCTTTTTCGCCTGTAAATCGTCTAAATTCATGATATATTAAAGGTTTTTAATTTAAAAGCTTACCTTTATCAATGCAACTCATATTTACTATTAAAATGTGCAATATTTTGTTTTAAAGTTGTCTCTCTTAATATTTTTATAATCCTGAGTGCCATAAGCTTCTACTTCATGAGTAAATTGGTCTGGGCCCTTTTTTGGCCCTTTACCAGTTTAAAGTTCAAATTTTTATGAACGTGGTTTTGACGTTTGTGGTTTTTGACATTTGACAGAGAGCATTTGTTACAGTGTTGCCCTTGTCTCTGGTGTTGCCAACCCAAAATCTTTCTAGGAGGTAAATAAAAGTTGGTAGCAAAGGTAGTTTCCATATAACTATATAATATAACTATAGTTAACGAGTTATAGGTACAGTTGTATTCAATAAAAAAGCGTACAAGAATTAGAATGAGAGAAAACTGTCAAAATAATATTATTGCTTAAAACCGGCTTATCACTGACATAAGTCATTAAAATAATTACTATAGGTTATAAAGAGCATTGACGTCGTAGGTTAATTAAATAATATTACAAAAATTATTACCTTTTAGAAATGAAAAAAAAAACAAACATTAAAAAAAATTTAATATTTAGTCATGCATCCCTGTTTTTCTATTACTTGAGCCAATCTATTTGGGATGAACTGAATTAAATTTAATACAATATTTGGATTTATATCCTCTCAGCAGTATAGTAGGTATAGTATAGTTGTATAGTTTCCCATAAATCCTCAGATATCCCAAAAAAGCAGCATCCTGTTCAGGGGTGGACATTTTGGGACCAGGGTTGGGTATCTACCTACATTTTTGTTTTCGACATGTAGAAAACCTTTTTCGACGTTTTCGACGGTAGAAAACGTAAAAAAGTAGAATACTGTCAAATATCAAAAAATGTGAGGTTATGCAAGTTTGTTGTTTATTATGATTTGTTAAATGTTGTGAAAAATCAGACACCTACCATACATTTGAAGTTATTTGGAGTTTTTTAACATTATTATGGTGGGAAAAAAAGGGCCACGTTTGGTTGGGAGACCCCAACATAATTTTTGGCATGAGGGCAAATTTTTATCAATTATAGAGATGTGGAAGGAGAAGGTCGAATAAGGTAATTTACGTAGGTAGAAAACCCTATAGGTTTTCGACGCAAGTCGAAAACAAGTTTTCTACCCTTTTCTACCAAGGTAAATTACCTAAGGTTTTCTACTGACCCAACCCTGTTTGGGACGACCTGAACCAACTTTTTGGTTTAGTAAATCTTCCTGTTCCCAGCGTTGCTTAATTTTTAATATAGATTTTTATTTCTATTATACCACAGTACGAATTGACCATTCTTCTTCGATTCTTGATACTATTTGAGACTTTTTAACTGACGAGACATTTTTATTTTCTACTGTCAGTTATAGTGACTTAAGTCAGTGGAAAGCCGGTTTTACGCAATAATGTTGACAGTTTCCTCTCATTCTAATTCTTGTACGCTTTTTTAATGAATACAACTGTATATGGTAGACTTGTAACATAATTATCGAATTGTAACATAAATTTTTCTAAAAACAAAGCTTGAAAATTATATGTAACATAATCGATAATTGTAACCTAATTTTTAATCCAAGTATCTGGACAAAATTAACTTAATTCTATCCAGATTAATTAATTTAATTAAGCATAAAGCCTGATTTATAGATTTCCTTCCTTCCTGCCGTAAAAGATCAACAATACCGTAGTGCTGTTTATAGATTCCCGTACGGTATTTATATTTCTAAAGGTAACGGTAGAGGCAGCGGTAGCGGTAGCCAAGTTGGGCATTGAATATTATATGAAACAATTTATAGTTGTCAGAGGTAGCGGTAAGGGAAGTAGAGGCAAGAACGTAGCGGCAAGAGATGACCATCTTTCATCTTTTCTTACCTCAAACGCTACTCCAGCCAATCGCAGTTTTTAGTTGACAGCCTCGCCTTGTAAGTTTAGTGTTTATGCGAGGGGCCGCTATTACCGCTACCGCTACTTTCTGAACTATAAATCCAGCTTTATAGTATTTTTAACAAATTTTATAATTTTCCAAAAAATCGATAATTGAATTGCTTCTTTCACTTTTTTTATGATTAAATTATAATAATTATTGTAACATAATTATTACAATTATTGTAACATAATTTTCCGAAAATTCGATAATTTTATTACGCTGTTGCTAGTACACCGCGCGCGGTGTACTATTCTACACCGCCAATTACGTCATAATTATAATCCGTTTTTGTTCCCCGAGCGTTTAATATTTGACAACAAGCTAGATGGCTCAGATGGTAGGGCGGGCGCTTGGCATGCGAGAGGTCCCGGGTTCGATTCTAAGAACTTTTTTATTTTTTTATTTCATAAATTTGTTGTTTCTTTGTTAAACAGTGTTCGGTTGGGTTGGTTAATTTGTTTTAGTTTTATCGTAACATAAAATCTACCAGAAGTTGTCGAACTTTTTTTATTTTATAAATTTGTTGTTCCTTTGTTAAAGTGTTTTATCGTAACATAAATTTGCCCATTTTAGTTGGGTTTTTTGCTCAATGGGGCGGGGGGGCCAATGAGGCGGGATCGGTTTGGTTGTGTTGTTGAGTTTGGGTTGGTTTGGGTTTATGACGTAATATATAATTTGGCGGTGCACTAGCAACAGCGATTTTATTAACCCAATTCGATAATTTCAACTTTTACATCTGGCAACACTGATGGTAGTTTCCAACAAATCTTACTTTGAAAAGTTAAGCCCAGAGACAGCCCTTGTCTCTGGTTAAGCCTGGTTCTGTATTCTCCGCTGAAGTGACAAGTGTCCTTGGGAGGACAATATGGGGCTCACACATAGAAATAATACGAATAATAGTATTATTTCTATTGGCTCACATCACAAAAATAAGCTGATCAGCGACAAAACCCCAGAATCTACATTAGATTGTGGAAGACGCAAAAGATTTCCACAAAGGATGGTCAAAGTATTCAAGGATTGAATCAGAGATAAAGAAGGTTTGAAGGATTGAATATACAGGTGCAAACATTGCTTGGTTAGTTTTTTTTTACATTTTTTTTGCTTATTATCGTAATTTTGTTTATGTTTAAGACATTACTTTATTAGTGTAATAAAAATGACTGTTTAAATGATAAGTGTACTAGGTAAGATATTTTTTCTACTCCCACCTTTAAAATGCCCTTTATCGTACATGTTTCCATGACACTAAGTGACCTTTTAAATGCACGTTGACAAGTTGTGGCTTGATGGCGCTTTAGTCACGGGCTGAAGTTAACAACAGGTTTTTAGTCACGGGCTGAAGTTAGTTTTAAGTTAGTTGACTGTTGTCAAATGTCATACAATCGTTAAAATAAACTAAAATATTACTAAATGTAAAAATTATTTTATTATCTCAATACAAAAATACAAAAGTATTAAATAGTTTCTCAACGCCAATATTTGAAAAGTTTATATAAACATTGTACTGACATTTTAATTTCGCCGGCAGTAAACTATAACTTAAATTCGGACACGGACTCCACTGTAAAGTGCTCATAAAACATTTTCTTTACTTTCACCTTGGAGCCTACACAAGGAGCCTGAACTTAATAGGGGAAATTGACAAAACCTGTAGGGGAAATTGACAAAACCTGCCCTCTAAATTGCACAAATTAAGTCTTTTTTTTTCACCATCGGCGGCGCTGATTGTCGATGCGTACTGAAGTCTTCTCTTTTGGTAGCGTTTCGGTACAAATTAGTCATTTGTTTCAGTACAAACGGAACACCAGCGCCCTCTTATCTTAGGAAGATTCTTGTTTACATGAAGTTCAGACTCCTTGTGTAGGCTTCATGACTTTCACTGTGAAAAACTGTCAATTTTTAAGAAATACATTTCGATTTATATCCTTTATAATCTGTGTTTATAAAATAAAAAAAATTGACATTTGACGGTGACACACAGATTCCCCTATTGTTTCATAGATGGCGCTCTATACAAATTTTTGATATAAATCATTTTGAGATAATAATAAGTATTTGTCGTAGAAAAAGTATAGTATGCACCTCGTTTATAAACTTTTCTATACACTCATTAAATTAAGTTCGTGTATAAAATGGCGTTTATCAAACTTAATATAACATAATATACTATTCTCAGTATATAGGTAATTCTAGACTCGCTTCCTCCAGTAAATAAAATAGTAAGATTCAGCCATAGATAACAGGATTCAGCTGGCTAAATCCCGGAAGGGAAATGCCAAAACAATTAGAAGAAGAAGAGGAGGAAGCCTGGTTCTAACAGAAAAGTAATTTAACTTAAAAGTTAAAAACCGAGGAATCCTTTGTTAAGCTCGTTTCATATAGATGCGAAATGCGAATTAAGAAAAATGGCGGGAAAAGCGTTTCGACAGATCCTGCGAATTCGCAACATTTGAATCTAGGGGGCGGAAATCCCTATTGAGACCGATAGAAAATAACTCAATGAAGGATATATAGGGATATCCCTATAGAGCAACCATAAAACATTTGACAAAATTTTATTAAAACCTATGGGGTCCTATAGGGAAAAAACTAATTTCTACATTTATGTGTATTTTCCCCATTGAAACCGATAGCAAATAAATCAATGGTGGATATCCCTATAGAACAACCATAAATCTCAACTATGGGTCCTATACAAACCGATACACCCTATAGAAACACCATACATCCCGATACAAATATCTATCGGTTTGAACAGGGTCTCTATGGGGTATTTTAAGCAGGACAAGGCCTCCCGAGCCCGTGCCTCCACAAAGAGATGTAGAGGCCCCAGTCCCAGTATGGCCTCCATTGCCAATGTTGGAGTGGTTCTAAAAGCTCCAATTATGCCCATGCAGGCAAATCGTTGGAGCTTGTCCATCTTCTTCCTGTAGGTGGACTTGCTTAACGCATTCCACCAAACAAGGCTGCCGTATGTGATCATTGGCCTTATGACTGTTGTGTAAAGCCAGTGCACTATGTGGGGTTGTAGGCCCCAGGTGCGTCCAATGGTCCTTCTGCATGCCCATAGGCTATGAGTGGCCCTCT